AGAAATCAATGAGGAATAAAAACCACCGCTCCCATGGACCATGGTAATGGGAGACGCCAACAGTCAGAGCGTTCAAGCATCTCCTTCGCCGACGAGTTCAAACCTGTGAAGTCCACGTTGGCATAAATTAAGCTTTCAAGGTCGGGACCCCACGTATTGTATAAGCTAGGTGCGAGCCATAGCGGCCCTCTGCTTTTTAACTCACAGAATATCGTCAGGTGCATGTAGTATTTGCTAAACTTGTTGCAAACCTGCCAGGCGGTCGCGGAGTTATTGAAGGCCGAGTGTCCTTGCTGTGGACAGCTACATCTTTAAGGATTCGAGCTGGGGCTGCATGTCACGTACTGCAAAGACTGCGCAAGAAAGCTCCGGCTCAGTCCTTCGCTGCCAGGGCTGCGTGTGCCTTGCACGGCAACTGCAAGTTGTCCTTAAGCAGGGCGTGGGAGGATCCTCTTGCTGGTTTTGCTCGCTGATACTTATCCGAAAATACACTCGCCTCACTTTTCAATTCCATATACTTGGCCTACCTGAAAGTAGCTGTTTCTGTTTTGGGCTTGGACCGCATTTGTTGAGACCACGCTAGCACAGTGCCCCCTGGTGCTGAAGAGCTCGTTGCAATTCTGCAGGCAGATCCAGTGCAGCTACGCTTGCTCTACCAGCTTCGCGAGGTGTGGGCAGAGGGACGGAGCTTGCCGAGCTAGAAGCAGATTGAGCACCTAAGTCCTGCTCCACCGAAGTCGCAAAATGGTCGCTTGTGCGTTTAGATCTCCTACGCCCCAGTGCCTTATTATGATGAGGACATAAGAGGTACACACCGGGTATCACTAGGTCTCAGCAACTTGTCTGTGGATGGGCACGCAGCACGCACTTAGACAGCATTGAGGACGCCTTTTGTCCTCCTCCCGGCTCCGAAATAAGTTCAAGCAGGGTTGGGACCCTTTTATCACACCTCACCCCATAGAAGATTTCCTGCATTCTTTCCATGGGGTTAGTCAGAACTCGAGTCATAAAACATAGTTTTTAGCGCCATGGATCTCTACTCTACTAGTCCCTCAAAAACATGCACCGCATCATGTCACATCCAGGTGGTGGGAACACATCATGACAAAAAGTTGGCCTGAGAGCCAGGTCCAGGATGAAGAAGAGCTCCCACCGTCGTCAGGGCAACTTGACGGACTTGGCCTTTACGAAGGATAGATCTTTACAAGTGGAGGGTACCGTCACTCTGTCCCAACGGATTCAGATAATTTAGATACAGTCTGCCTAAACTTATGAAGTGCCCCTGATCATGGAAGTCGGGTGTCTCACACTACGCCTGCGGCTGCGAAGCGAGGAAAAGCCTGGAGTTTACCTTGGTCAAGCGACCGGAGGACTCACGGACGCTGGGGGGAGGCCTCACGAAAAGGTCGGCGACTGGCTTGGAAGCCACACAGTCCATGCCTTTCAAGCTCACACTACAAACTGAGCAAAGTTTGAAGCAGTCCTGGCATTGGTGGATATTGTCGACTACGCGTCCAGATCGTTTGCAAGTTTTAGGTTTCAAGCCTTTGCTTGAGTCGTTGCAGAAAGTCCTGAATTTATGGCATGCAGGAGCAGGCTCGATGGATCAACGAAATGCGGGAGGGCATCGTAGCCAAGCTGAAGGCAGATGCGGGAAGCGCCAAAAAATGTGGCAGTGGGACCCCTAAAGGGCGTGAGGACGGGAGTAGGCTCTAAATGGCCTAGTGCCTACGTGGTGTCTTGAGACGATGAAGGGTGCTGGAAGATCAGAGCAACTCGGGCCAGGGTCCTCAAAAGCTGGTTCCTCATATCCAGGCCCCAGGCCCTCGGTCAAGTAGAAGCATGTTGTGACGTTTATGAACCATGCTAAACCCCCCACATCAACAAGATCATTCCTGGCAGTCTTTGGGTATCAGCAGAATATACCCAGTCATGAGTCAAAGAAAATTTTAGGTGCTTCGACTTTGCTAGTGCTCCATGAGCCGCGCACCTGCACAGGATGCTCCGTCCCACATCCGCGCTGATCCGGAGGTGGTCCGTGCGGCGCTTGCGGTATCAGGAGACTGAGAGAGTAGAGGGTGTGTGCCTGGTACACGCTGCACGAGCATTCAATGGGCTGTGATGAACACGTGGCAGCCCGGACTGGTCATTGAGTCATGTGCCACCACCATCCAATGCCCAGATGCTGAACTCTGAGAGTTAGCAGCTACATATACTTCAACGGCTTCTTCATGTTGATGCTGTACCACACGGAATAGGGCTCAGATGTTTTCACGTTGGGGCCAGGACAAAGCCTGGAGTATGCTGATGCAGCTCTGCGCGCTGACAAAGCGCCACTTAGTTTGCTTTTGCTTTTACCCACGTGTAGTGCATTGGAGGGTGTTGATCCGTTTCTGAGCCCGTCAATGTGTCTTCGGGGCTTGACTGGAAGGGTTCTTAAATCAGATTTCGGCGCTGCAAGCCAAGCGATGTATCTCCAGGGTCTGAAAGTCTGGGTCTGCAAATGGTCCGGATACTCCTCCTAATTCTGAGTCATTCCGAGTCTACCTGGTGACCTCCGGATATTGTCTTTATTGGGGCTATATTGGGTTTTTATTGGGATAAT